ACGGAAACGGATTGCAGAATGGATTAAAAACCATAATCCTACAATATGTTGTTTACAGGAAACACATTTGAAAAAGAGTGCAGAAACTAGGCATAGACCCAAATCTCACACGATATACCAAAATAAAGTCAAAATGGGTTCAGGATTTAGATATAAAGGCTGATACCATAAGTAAACTGGGAGAACAAGGAATAGTTTACCTATCAGATCTATGGAGAACAGAAGAATTCATGACCAAACAGGAGATAGAGAACATTATGAAAAGCAAAATGGATAATTTTGATTACATTAAATTGAAAAGTTTTTGCACAAACAAAGCCAATGCAACTAAGATTAGAAGGAAGGTAGAAAATTGGGAAAGAATTTTTACAACCAGTCTTTCTGATAAAGGCCTCATTTCTAAAATATATAGAGAATTAAGACAAATTTATAAGAACACAAGCCATTCCCCAACTGATAAATGGTCAAAGGATATGAACAGACAGTTCTCAGATGAAGAAATTAAAGCCATCTATAGTCATATGAAAAAATGCTCTAAATCATTATTGATTAGAGAAATGCAAATCAAAACAACTCTGAGGTACCACATCACACCTATCAGATTGGCCAACATGACAAAACAGGAAAATGATAAATGTTGGAGAGGATGTGGGAAAATTGGAACACTAATACATTGTTGGTGGAGTTGTGAAATGATCCAACCATTTTGGAGAACAATTTGGAATTATGCCCAAAGGGCTTCAAACATCATATGCATACCCTTTGATCTAGCAATAGCACTTCTAGGGCTATATCCCAAAGAGATCAAACAAATGGGAAAAGGACCCACATGTCCAAAAATATACATAGCAGCTCTTTTTGTGGTGGCAAAGAATTGGAAATTGAGAGGATGTCCGTCAATTGGGGAATGGCTGAGCAAGTTGTGGTATATGAATGTAATGGAATACTATTGTGCTATAAGAAATGATGAACAGGCTGACTTCAGAAAAACCTGGAAAGACTTGTATGGTCTGATGCTGAGTGAAGTGAGCAGAACCAAGAGGACTTTCTATACAATAGCAGCTACGTTATGCAATGACTAAGAATGTTAAACTGAACCCTTCTCAGCATTACGAGGATCTAAGACATCTCCAGAGGCCTCGGGATGGAAAATGCTATCCACATCCAAAGAAAGAACTATGGAAGTCGAATCGCTCTTACTTATTTTTACCTTCTGTTGAGTTTTGTTTCACCTTTATGATGGTTCCTCCTATTGGTTTTAATTTTTACTTACAACTTCATTAACGTGAAAATATGTTTAATGGGTATGTAAATGTAAAGCCTATGTCAGATTGTGCGCCATCTTGGGGAGGGTGGGGGGAGAAAAAGGGAGAAAAATTTTTCAACAAGAGTGGTGCAGATGAGATAACATGTAGAGTTTCACCAATTTTAAACAGTTTCTAAATTTCAGCCATTATTTTGCAAGTATTCTAAACCCTTATTAAAAATGGAACTGATCATCTTATTTCTCCTCCAAACTTCCCAACGTTGTTTCCCCCTTCAGACTTCTCTTTTTGTGTTGAGGACTCAAACATATTTCCAGGCACCCAAATTCAAAACTTTGGAGTAATTCTTGGGTCTTTTCTTTCCCTTTCTCTGCATAGCTAATTGATTACCACATTTCGTTAAAACATCTTTGTGGCTGTGTTCTTCCTATTCACACATCTCCTACCCTAGTTCAAATACTTATCACTTCTTGCTTATACTAATATAATAGCATAATTTAGGTCTCCCTGGTTCCTGTCTGCCTTCTGTAATTCATCTACCACACATCTGCCATATTAGTCTTCCTAAGGCACTGGTGGGACCATGTCCATGTCCTACTCAAATTTTCATCTACAACCCGACCTACTTTCTCGGAAATATCATATTAGTCCCCTTCAAAATTTTATATTCCACTCTAACAGAGCTAGTAGCTGTTCCCTGAAATTAACATCTGATACTCTGCCTGTGCCCCATTATATGGAATATACCTTTTCATCTCTGCTTTTTAGAAGTCACTAACATCCTTTAAGGCTTAAGCTCAGGTCCCATTTCCTACACTAAACCTTTCCCCATTTCCTTTGTTAGTGCTTTCACCTTCCAATTACTTTATCTATATTTCTGTGTATATGGTATAACTACCTAGTACAATGTAAGCTCCTTGAAGGGAGGATCTGTTCATTGTTTGTTCATGAGAATATTTCACTATCTAGTGACTGTGTCCTGTTTTAATCATGTGATGTGACTGCAGACATGTAGATAGCAAGGAAGAAATATTGTAACCCTGTGAAATGGGGAGGCACAAACCACTTAGAAAAGTAACAATCAGATTGGAGTAGCCCTGATAATACATGTAAATATTTGGGGAAGGTCTTTGAATCTAACTATAAAATGCAATTAAAAAAAAAAGTTGTTACGACTTGCTATTTTCCTAAACATTGTCCCATGCTTTCTTTCTCATCCTGTTGCCTTTCATGTTCTTTTCCTGGTTTGGAATGCTGTGCAGTTCTCATCATTGCATATTGACATACTGAGTGTTCTTTAAAACCCAGATACTGTGTTATATCTTTACACAGCCTGCTGGAAGGGATTGTTTCTCCCTCTGAACCCTTATAATTTTGTGAGCACCTGAAATTGTACCAGTCTTAAATATCTGAACTAGATTGTAAGGTCCTTGAGGTCAGGGATCATGCCTTATGTAGAATTTGTTTCTGTCCTAGATCCAAATGTGTAATAAATTGTTTCTTTAAATTTTAATTTGAGTTTGTTGAATTTGAATCTCCATCAGTACCTTGTATCAGGCTAGAAGCTTAATATTTATTTAGTCAAATTCAATGAATAAATGGAACTGCAAATAGTAACAGTGACCACAGTTACAAACCAAAAAATGGTTTTCACGAAAACACGACTATTAAAATGTGTTTATCTTTTTAGTGACATCCCATATATTGATAACTATACTATGCTGTAAAAAGTGTCATTCTTGACAAAACGTAGTGTGCAAACCTAACAAAACTTTAGTAACCTGAACGGTCATATTCAGTTTTCACGATATGTTTATTATTTTAATACTAGTATAGTAGCATGTATTTATGATAACTAGAAATTTTATGTGCTTTTTCCTTGAACTAAAAACAGTAAAGCCTGAATTTTTTTTTTTCCAGCCAGAAGATCTTGCTCAGAAGCTCCCAAACCTTGTGGAATTGTAAGTGTTAACTTTCTTTAAAAATATATATATTGTAGTATAAATAGTCATAAGTTACTTTTAGTAATAGAATATATCACTTTAATTAATGATTTTTAATGACTTAGTGCTTTGATTTCTATTTCTGATAGACCTTAAAGTAAATGCTCTTTTCAAATGTATTTTCTTTGTTTAACCATAGACTCATGAAATTTGACTTTTGAAAGAATCTTGAGGTTTCCTATGGCTAGAGAAAGTAGGTATTATTTCTAGGGCAATGTATCTCTTAGACTTGTAGGAGTGCGAAACCTGCAGCCTCAAGGCCACATGTGGCCTTCTAGGTCCTTGTACAGCCTTTTGACCAAGTCCAAGCTTTATAGAACAAATCCTTTTATTAAAGGAGTTTGTTCTGTGAAGTTTGGATTCGGTCAAAGGGCTCCACTTGAGGACCTAGAGGGCCACATATGGCCTCAAGGCCACAAGTTCCCCACCCCTGTTTGGAGTATCCAGTACATTTTTGTTATATAACCTAAGTTGGGACCTTATTTTTTGCCCCTCTTAACCTACTCTACTATTATTGATGTTGATATCTTTTTTTCTCTCCTTTTCTCTAAAACCTGCAGAATTGAAGAGATGTTCTAGTTTCCCATGCATTGAGAAGATTAGGACCATCCAGAATGAATTCCCTCAGCTCTACCTCCATTTTTCAAAATTTCTCACCATCCTCACACCCCTTTCTTCTCCTTCTCTCTGGTTACAAAGAAGATAAGCTTATGTTCCACTAGGATACCTCTGTTGCTATCCTTGATTCCATTTTCCTCTGACTCCTCCAGAACCTAGCTCCAGCATATCTCTGTCATATATCTTCAATCACTGGCTCCTTCTCATCTGCCTATAAATATGTTCAAGGTTCTCAGTCTTCAAAAATGAAAAAAAACCAACCCTTCCTTTGACTTGCTAGTTCTTCTCTCTAACACATTTTTATCTTGCCCATTATTACTGAATTTCTCAAAAATAATATCTATATCCAATGCTTCCAAGTTCTCACTGTTAATTCTTAACCCTTTTCACACTGGCTTTTGTTCCTACATTGAATTAAAACATTTTTGTGATTACAATTAGAGATTTTGAGCTCGAAGTCACTTTAAATGTCATTTAATCCAAGAGTTCTCAACCTGGAACCTGTGAGTCCTACCTATTGTGTATTTCAGAGATGTGTTTGAACTTGAATGGTAAAAAAATGTAATTTTTATTTTCAGTAACCTTTATTGAAGGCAATTTAGCATTTCCCTCAATTTTTTAAAAGCGTTATTCTGAGAAAAGATTTATAGTCTTCACCAGACTGCCAAAAGATTCTAGGATACAAAAAAAAGTTTAAGAATCCCTGATTTAATTTGACCCCTTCACTCTATAGATGATATATTGAGAGGGCAAATGACTTGCCCATAGTCATACAGGTTACTATAAATAGCAGAGCTGGGATTCAGATGTAGGGCCTTTGGCTGTATCAGAGCCTTACTTCAATCTTACATCAACTGCCTGCTGAACATCTCCACATTTCAAACTCAGCATTTCTAAAAAAAAAAAGAAAGAACTAATTTCTTTACCCTCAAACCCATTCCTCCTAACACTCTGTTTCTATTAAATGTGCCACTGTCTTATCAGTAAAGTTGCCACATCTTGTAGATTCTGTCTCCACAGTATTTCTCATGTTAGTCACCTTCTCTCCACCTACATGGTCACATATTAAAAAAAAAAAAAGGAAATAGGTGGGGAGAAAGTTTGGCTCACTCACCCTGTTGTTCACTTTGTAAGTTTTAGAGCCTTTTGTCTTAGAAATCGGTGTCGGGCTTTCATGGCCTTGCCTGGACTCTGAAAAACTTTCACAGAGCCCAGGGCTTCATTCTTCTACATAGGTAGCCATTACCTCATAAGGGGCTTCATAGCAAAACAAAGAACAAAGGTGTCATTGAGTTTGTTCATGGACTGATTTTCTGAGTTAACTCTTAATCATCCTGATCTACTCTGCAGACTCAACATTATAATATAGTTATTAAAATTTGCTTAGGACTTTTTGTTTAGTACTTTCTAACTGGGGGTGTTTTACATCTTTAAGACTGACTAAAACTAATTACTGGGGGCTAGAATTAGCCCTAACACATAGTCATAGTGAGGAACGTTTCGTACATTAGGCTGGGGAGTTTGTATTTTATCCTATAGTCAATAGGGAGCTACTGAAGGCTTTTTGGGCGGGGGAATGACATAGTTAGATCTGTTTTGGCAGCTCTACGTAGAAAGGATTATAGAGGGAAGAGTGTAGATTTATTAGGAGGCTAATACAATACTCTGGTCAAGAAGTTATGAAGGCTGAAACTACTTCAGTGAATTTGTGAATGGAAAGGAGGAGATGGTTTTGAGAGATGTTAACAGAAGTAGAATCAACAAGAATTGGCAACTATTTGAGAATGGAGGACAAAGGAAGAGTCAAGGCTAACTCTAACATTGTGACCTTGGCACCTGGAAAGATGTTGATACACCCAATAGAAGTAGAGAAATTTGGAGAAGTGGGTTTGGGATGATAGTAGAATAATGAGTTCCATTTAAAACATATTCAATTTGAGATGTCACTTTAACTGTTGAGTTCCCTCCCATTCTTTAATGTCCAACTCAAATATTCCCTCTTCCTTGAAGCCTTCCCTGATTTCCTCTGGTTAGTAATGATTTCCTTTTAAATAAGCTTCCCACCACCAAAAAAACAAAAACACACACACACACACACACACACACACACACACACACGTACACCAAACCAACCCAACACAAAAGTGCTACACAATTGCTTAATACATTTAACATGCAATTTAAAAAATTAACTATCTTGATTTGTGTTTTATCCTCTTACTAGGATATAAGCTTCATGAAGGGAGTCACTATTTCCATTTCAGACTGACCTTGGGCAAGTCACTTAACTTATCTTTGCCTCAGCTTCCTCTTCTGTAAATGAGGGAATAGGACTAACTAGACTTTAAGGTCCCTTACAGCTCTGTATTGTGATCCAAGAAAGAACTTTCAGGGCTGGAACTGTTTCACTTCTTTTTTTTAATCTTCAGCTCCCAGCACAGTAACATTAGTAATTGCTTAATAAATATTTGTTAAAGAAGGTCAGGGACTGTCTGATCTAAATTTTTTGTCTACCTTGGTATCTAGCACAGAACTTCACACACAGTGTAAGCCTAATAAATGTTGAATGAATGAGTAAATTTGAGATATCCTGAAACTAATTGGCATTTTCCCCTGAAATATGGTATTCTGTTTCCTATGTCAGTTGATTTGGTTGCTTTTTTATAGTCACAATACTATATCTATAGCATTAACTTTTAATTTTGTAGATTTTAACAAATTTAATTCAACAAACAACCATAACACAAAATAGAATGTTTTTTGCTGAATTGAATTTGTTGGGATCTACAGTATTGAACAACACAACTTTATAATATTTTCCAAAATGATAATACTGAGATGGATAAATGTGACACCACTATAAAGCATTCTTATAATTACAGTTAAAAAAAAAAGCATAGATGTACTTAATAGATATGGAAGAAAGCAACATGAAATATAACGCAAAAACTTATTGACAGTCTAATAACATTGTTTTAGTTGACTACATCCACTTCTGTATCTGCCAGTTTGGGCATTTCATGTTGATTACATTCAGAAAACAGAATTGTGATACCGTTATTAATATAGAAGCTTTTCTTTATCTTTTTTTTCACTGATCGAAATGAGCTTCTCTGTTATTCTGTCTAGATTTCCCATTGCCCTTTTGGCTCCTGAATTCTATATAAACTCTTTGTGGGTTTAGTATGGGACCTTGAATTGTTCTTTCATGTGTGATTGAGGCAGACTACATTTTTAACTGGCATTTCTCCAGGCAAAGTTCATGGCTTCATAGTTCCAATTTCCTGGGCATCTCTAATCTCTGTCCCTGAAAAGATGGGAAAACTTCCTTAAATATGTTGCCATTTTTACCACCTGGGCTGCTTTTCCTGTTGATTATCAGTCCCTGTTGAGAACCCTGACTCAGAATCTCCTATAACTACTGAGAAAATTAGCACCTTGTGTATAGTCCCTAGGTAATTGGAAAACCCCTAGTTTTTCTATCTGCTGTTGAAGAATCAGGGGATACTGGTTTCAGATCTGGATCAGTTAGTGCCTTCCAAATGTTTGGAAATTTTCTACTTCTATGTAATGCTTATTATGGTTCTTTTCCATTGTCCAGCCCAACCTCAGGAATTCTTTGTTAGCTTTTAATTCAGCTTCAAATCTATGCTAAGCTGATTCAAACTGTCATTGCATTCCTTCTAATTGGAGACGCAGCAATGCTTAGTGTTTGGAGACTAACTGCACGTCAGGAAGACTGAGGTTTTTGACCCTGGACAAGTCAGTTAATCTTTTAATGCTCTTGGCAACTCTGACTGTAGTTATAGAAGAGGTACCAGTCTTCATGGGTAGAGGGAGTTTCTTCACTAGAAGATCCCTACATCAATGAAATCACAGGATAGGGTTATGAAAAAAAATACTGGAAATTTTTCTCTCTGTATTAATTTAATAGATCACTTTCTTGTGTCTACATATGTGTGTGTGTGTATAAAATATATATGAATATATGCATGCACACATGTATATCCATATGTATAAATAGCTTCCTAACCTCAGACTTTTCAGTTTTCAAATTTTGTTTCATATGTTCTATTTGTGTTTTTGTTTGTCTTTTTCTCTGTATTTGTTTTGTTTTGTTTTTTTTGGTTAGGCAGTGGGGTTAAATGACTTGGCCAGGGTCACACAGCTAGTAAGTGTTATATGTCTGAGGGCAGATTTGAACTCAGGTCCTCCTGACTCCAGAGCCGGTACTCTATCCACTGTGCCACCCAGCTGCCCACTTTTCTCTCTATTTGTATCTTTTGCAGATTGGCACACTCTTCTCTTTGTTGGGCTGAACTTTCATATCTAAATATTCAGTCCATGGTGCCCAAATTACACATTTTTTTAGTTTGTTTTTGCTTTTTGATGAGGCAGTCAGGGTTAAGTGACTTGCCCAGGGTCACACAGCTAGTAAATGTCGAAGTGTCTGAAGCAGGATTTGAACTCAGGTCCTCCAGACTCCAAAGCCAGAGCTGTATACACTGTACCACTTAGCTGCCCCCACGTTCTTTTTTAAAAAAAAAAATTCTTTTTATTTGTTAAATATTTCCCAATTACATGTAAAAAATTTTTAACAATCATTTTTTTTAAATTTCAGGTTCCAGATTCTCTCCTGCCCTCTCAGTTCTCCTCCCTTCTTGAGAATGCAAGCAGTTTTATTTCTATTATACATGTGAGGTCATGCAAAACATCTTTCCATATTAGCCATGTTGCAAAAGAGAACACAGATTAAAAATAAATTTTTTAAAAACCTGCTTCAGTCTGCAGTCAGAATTTATCAGTTTTCTCTCTGGAGGTAGACAGCATTTTTCATCACTTATAGTGCAGTAGTGTTCCATCACAATTGATAACACAACTTGTTCACCCATTTCCCAGTTGATGGATATCCCCTCAATTTCCAATTCTTTGCTACCACAAAAAGAGCTGCTATAAATATTTTTTGTACAAATAGGTCCTTTTTCCTTTTCTTTGATCTCTTTGGAATACAGACCTAGTAGTGGTATTGCTGGGTCAAAGGGCAGGCACAGTTTTATTGCCCTTTGGGCATAGTTCTAAATTGTTTTCCAGAATGGTTGGACCAGTTCACAACTCCACTAATAGTGCCTTTGTGTACCCATTTTTCCACATTCCCTCCAGAATTGTCATTTTCCTTTTCTGTCGTGTTAGTCAGTCTGATAGGTGTGACATGATATCTCAGAGTTGTTTTAATTTGCATTTCTCTAATCTGTAGTGATTTAGAGCATATTTTCATGTGACTATTGATAGCTTTGATTTCTTCTGAAAACTGCTAGGTTACACATTTAATCAATCAATAAACATTTATTAAATACATACTATGTGGCAGGCACTGTGCTAAATGCTGAGGATATAGAGACAAAAGAAAGTCCCTGCCCACAAGGAGCTTATAATCTAATGGGGGAGACAATATGAAAAAATACATATATACAAAGCAAGCTATATACTGGATAAATAGGAAATAATTAAAAGAGGGAAAGCATTAGAATTTGAAGAGGTTGGGATAGGCTTCCTGTAAAGGATGAGATTTTAGTTGGGACTTAGAGGAAGCAAGAGAAGTCAGTTGGTAGAGTTGAGAAGAGGTGGTATTCCAGGCTTCGGGGACATTCAGAAAAAATGCACAGAGCCAAGAGATGCAGTGTCCTGTTTATGGAATAACCAAGAAGCCAGAGCAGAGAGAATATGGTGGGGAGCAAGATATAAGAATCGAAAGGTAGGAGGGGGCTATATTATGAAGGACTTTGAATGCCAGAGGATTTGGAGGCATAGAGAGCTACTGGATTTTATTGAATAGGGGAGTGACATGGTCATACCTACATTTTACTTTGGTGGCTGAGTGGAGAATGAATTGAAGAAGGGGTAGTAGAGGCAGGCAGACCCTGTTGCAGTAGTCTGTTGCAGTCTGTTGCAGTAGTCCAGTAGTAAGGTGATGAAGATCTGCATTAGAGTGGTGGCAGTGCCAGAGAGAAGGGGGAGAATTCAAGAGATGTTGCAGAAGTGAAGTCAGCAGGCACTGGCAACAGCTTGGATATGGGGGAGTGTAAGAGATAGCGAGGAGTCAAGGATGACTCCTCTGTTGTGAGCCTGAGGAATTAGGAAGATGTTGTTGCCCTTTACTGTAATAGGGTAACAGGAATAGGGTGTGGGGGAAAGATAACGAGTTCTGTTTTGGATATGTTTAGTTTAAGATACCTACTGGACATCTAATTTGAAATATCTGAAAGTGGATGGAAATGTGAGATTGTTTTCCTTTGTTTCTAGATAAAATTCATTGTCTTGCCTGCTTTTTCACTGGGGTTTTCAGGTTGCTTTCCATCACTGCATAATATTTTATTCATTGTGTTTTCACATAAGTTTTTTATTCATTTTCCCCTATGATGAGTCTCACTGCTGGCTTATCTAAGAACTTCTAGCTTTTTAATTTAAAAAAGGGAGTAGGGTGATTTCTTCTTTTCTGACCTTACTTCTAAAGAGGCAAAATGGCATAATAGATAGAGAGCTGGAAAATCTAGGTTCAAGGCCCACACATACTGACTGTGTGACCTTGAGCAACCAACTTACCCTCTCAGTATCTGAAGTGACTTTCTAAAGACAATATGTTGCAGCAGTGGTGCTGATCTGCTTTGATGGAGGAAGTTTCTTATTGGAGTTCCTACGACAATGAAATTGCTTTTCCAAAAAAAAAATCCTTGTGGTTTTTTTTCTATTTATATTTAGTCTTTTTCCAGTCTTCTTGCTGCTTCCATCCATCTCTTCTAATCAGTCCATTGAATAAGGCTTTGGAGCTATTTGTGCTCCTCTCCCTTCCACTCTATCTTATGTTTTCTTCTGTCCACGTCATAAGGGCCATACAGCTTTCGTGACATTCTTGAGTTGGGAGTTGAGGAGGAAGAAGGAAGGAAGCAAGCATTTATTAAACACCTACTGTGTGCCAGGCACTGTGCTAACTGCTTAACAAATGTCTCATTTGATCCTCACAATAACCCTGGAAGGTAGTTGCCATTATATTATCACCATTTTATAGGTGAGGAGACTGAGACAGACAGTAACTTTCCCAGGGTCACACACCTAGTAAGTGACTGCGTCCAGATTTGAACTTTGGTCTTCCTTACTCCAGATCCAGCTCTCTGTCCACTGTGCCACCTAGTTTTACTGTGGCTCCATGCTGGGTGGAAGCTCTAGGGAGAAAACACCATAATTGATTTTGCATTTTTCCTTTGTCACCTCTGCTTTTCAAGGCCTTTCTCACCTCCTCCATACATGACCACTCTTTTGGCTGAACAAATTCATTGTCCTCTCTCCGTTGAGAGGTCTAATGGGGAATTGTGAGGAGTGGGGAACAGAGTAGAAGCTACCACAGCCAGAGTCTATCAGGTTGTTCAGGCTGGTCTTGGAATGAACAATGGCAGATGGTTAGGGTAAGTGGGTTTT